CAACATTTTTTTTTTTTTTTTCAGATGACCACAAATACAAAAACCATTTAATGAAACTGTTTAGACAGATTGGCAGAAAAAGGAAATCCCTTTAGATACCATCTTTATAGTTCTAATATGCCATTGTTGCAAAGACAAAAGAGCGTAACAAAGAGAGAGAGAGAGAGAGAGAGAGACTAAAAAATCTAGCATGGGATATGAGACTGACTCTACATCGCACACAGAGCTCTTTTAATCAGACAAGTCAATTGGTTTTGTCTGCAAAAAACCATCATTAGGTGAGCAAGAGTATAGGTGCAATTCAAGAAATCGAGTTCGTTAATTAAGTAAACCAAAGAGTATGATACATCATATGAGAAAAAAAATATGCCATAACAGTAATTGTTTCTATAGCAAGGTGGAAGAGAAAAACAAAATGGATGAAACAATGCAATCAAAGAAACCAAAAAGAAAGAGAAACAGAGTGGATGTCACTATACTTAAAAACAATCATATACAAGCAACCAAAAAGATACATCATATGCCATGTACTCATCCCTACATATTATATTCCAAAGATCTGTCTCTGTATCTTTGCAGTCCAAAGCCAAATCAATTGCGAGGAAGATCTGTAAAAGTTTAAAAAGAAATAAAAAGAAAGAGGATTTTGAGCATACAACCAAAAGATGCTGGCTATATATATATATTTTTTTTCCATATAAAACCAAAGGGTCGTACCTTACTACTCAGAAGAAACAAGGGTCCTTGAACTAATCTTAGACTCCCTGTGTTGCAAGGAATACATAGCAAATCCATCTCCTTGGAAAGATAAAATCATTCCACACTCGAGGGATACAAACCATAGGACAAAAACAAACGACAATAACACAAGAATATGATTTAGATTTTTCTTCTCATTGGCAAGTAGCAAGCCCCAGCAGATAACCTCTTACTAATCCTCCTATCACAGTCTTTTTATTATCTCGTTTCAACATTAGACATAAGCAAGAGCAACTACCTTCTAATTACTTCAATTTATAATCTCAGTTTATTTAAATGGAGCAAAATAAATCTAGAAAAATCAGTAATTGATCTTACCTTCGGAACTCCTCACCAAAGAGACATCAAACACATGTAAGACAGCAGCAGAAACCAAAAGACATATTAAGAAACAAAAATCAAAGCTAAAAATCGTAGCAATTTGCTTTCTTTCACAAAGAAGATAATGATATAATCTAGGAAATTGACATATAATTCCCTTGCATCAAAACTTACAAATCATTCACCAGAAATAAATTTGAAGACATAAAAAGAGGAAAAGAAAGTTAGAGAGAGAGAAAGAAACAGAGGAAAAGATATATGAAGAATCCCCAAAAATATCCATCAGATCTAAATCCAATTAAACAACAAACCCATATACAAATTTCATACTTTTCCTTCATTTTCCCAGCATCCAGACAAACCAAAACAACATAGGACAACAACAAATTACTCCCAGAATTCACCCAATTTATATTATCTTACTTTTCCCAATACCTAAAGAGACCCAAATAAGTAAAATTTGGACAAAAAATCACCAATAACACAGAAGGAAAAAAAAACCCAAACACAAGCATCTCATATAAAATTAAAAGAAATACTCAAAATGCATACATTAACAATGTGATGACGAAGTTGTGTTGTTGATTTCGACGGAGGAGTCTCTCTTGGAGGTCTTCTTAGGGGTTCGCGTGGTCCTCAGAGTCACCGTCCGACGCATGACGACGACCGCAGAATTTAAGCGGCCACTCTAGGTCAAGGGCGAGAGTTGACGGAGGGAGCGAGATGAGGAAGATTTAGAGAGACAAGTGTTTCAGAGAATGTTTAAGAGAGTTTAGAGAGGGCGAGAGTTGAGGGAGGGAATGTTTTCGATCTTGGGGGGAAATCTGAAATTTTTTAGGTCGACGCTAAACTCACTCAGTCCAGCGTGTTTTGAAAAGACGACGTTTGCTCACTCTCAAGCAGCCTAACGTGTTTTAAAAGACGACATTTGTAATTCACAACCGTTGTGTTTTAAAAATTGAGACAGCCCAACTCGATTTTAGTGGTGTATAAGGTGACATATCACGACGGTTTTGTAAACCCCGCCTTCTTTTAAAATACAACGACGGTTTTAAGTTATACCGTCGTCTATTTTGTGTCGTGGTTGTATGATTTTGTAGTAGTGATGATACAAAGATATCCAAATCCGAGACCACAAATTAAAGGCACGGCAAAAGTACAAAGCCACTTGTGGGAACATGAATTTTGGAAACCAATCACAAGATGATGCGTGGATAAAAAAATATTACTTAGGTTAAATAATTGTGGTAATTAAATCTGATTTAATTATTCAATTTTCCTTTATTTAAGATAGAAATATCTCCCTAAATCAAGGATTCGATATCCATTAAATGTCCTTGATATTATCCTGTCATCTCATTTAAGGAAAAGAAAAATTCATTTTCATATGGAAATTATTCTCTACAAACCCTACCAAAGAAGGAGTCTCTATATAAAGATGGTATCACACCACACACGAGCTAATTATAAATTAACTTTTAAAAATCCTAGAGAAAGACTCTCTCTCTCTCTCACGCCTCTCTCTCTCTCCCTCTCTCACAGCTCCAACCGCCCCTCTCTCTCTCTCTCTCTCTCTCTTCCCAAAGAGAAAGCTTCATCCTTTAAGTTAATGCTGCATCTTCTTAAGACCATTTAACTAACTTAGGCATTGGAGGGCCTTTGGCGAACACCCCCCAGGTGTTTCGTTGACTGCATTTATTTTTGTAGGGATCGAGGAAGAAGAGGATCGAGTGATAAAAGGATCTATCCAGAATATTCTCACCAAAGATAATTTGTACAGACAAATTGGTGCTTTCATTAAGAAATTCGAGATATACTCAAAGCCTTGCTCTCAAATCCAAACCTAAGGAAATCCGTTTCCTTCCATTTATCGTTCATTCGAAGCTTTCCGAAGAACCATAGCCGAAAGTGTACGCACAAGGAGTAAGGTCGCTGCGATGACCCAATCCGCCACACGTCCGAGCCATTCCCTTGGGGTGAGGCCCTTCACAGCCCCTTGGCCAGACCAACCTTGCCACCACATGGCCTCACGATCGAGACCATCGCTCTACCTTACGACCCCGTGGCCGGAACAACCTTGTTGCTGTTGTAAAATTGGCTCACATTTAGTATGCAAGTGAAGGAGGAGGCGACCGGTCGCTGGGTATTTGCGACCGGTCGTTTTGAAGAAGATTCGAGGTCTGAAGAAGAAGCTGGAATTCGAGGCAAGCGACCGGTCGCCAGGTAGTTGCAACCGGTCGTTTTCAGACAGTTTGCAAAGAGACCGGTCGCCAGGAACGTGCGACCGGTCGCCAGACGTGCTGTGTCGTTTTTCCACGCGTTTTTCAAGGTGCCTTTCACATGTGCTTGTTCCCAACCTAACTCCAAGTGCCTCCAAAGAGTTTTATGGGTTCTAGGAAGTTTGGCAACGTGCCTTAGAAGCTGGAACAACATTTAAATGTTGTTTGTTGTCTTGTACCAAAGGATTTTCTAGGTGGGAGATAAGGGGACAAAGGGTGCATGCTTTATGGCTTGTTTTCTGGGTTGCCTAACCTTGTGTTTAGGTGGGTAGCTGAAAGCAAGTACGTGAAGGAGTAATTGTAGCCCTCTACAAAGTCCAAAGGTCTGCCTACAAAAGAAAGTGAAGATGCAAGACAAAAGGGAGTGGTTAATCTCAAAGAGTAGCTGGGAGCTATTGTGTCCAAGAGGTTGAACTTACCAAGGGAGGAAGAGAGAGAGGGCAATCAGTTCAAGAGAGAGCTGAGTTGAGTCTTGAGTTGTCTAGACACCAAATAAGGGAAACACAAAGTGTGAGAGAGTGTTCACAAGTGCATCAAAAGTGTTGAGCAAGGGGTGAGAGAGAAAAGAGAGCTTGGGAGAGAATAGAGTTTTAAGGGGGTTTCTTTGTAAACCAAAGTTGTAACTTATTCTTTCATTTAGTGAATTTCTCAAGGGGATCACCAAGAGGATGTAGGCAATTGCTAAACCTCTATAAATTCTAGTGTCACTTTGTGCTTGGTTGGTTTCTCAAGTGTGTGTGTGTGATTCATCCATCCTTGTGTATGTCACAAAGTCCATCAACAACAAGATCATTAGGGGAGTGAGTGAAAGTGTTCGTCCATTTTCACCAACAGTTGCCACATGGCCTCGTGGCCAGATCCAGCAACCACCCCCTTGGCCTCACGGTCGAGCCCATAAATCGTCCTCACGACTCCACGACTGAGTTCGGAGTTCACCTCCACGACGGCACCACAACACATGGATGTGCCGCCACACTTGGCAACCCTACCACCACGGCCAACTATGGATCAGTCTTAGAACAAGTTCATTTGTTCCCTCCTTTGCTGCCATGCTTGATGTTCGCACCTCCTGAGCACACCTCCTACAAAACCATAGGTTGTGTGCAACTTGGGTCCACACAATTCTCTCCCATCGATCCAAGCAATCAAGTAGATCTCATTTGCTAAGCCCAAGGCCCTGATATGACAAATCTCTGCCTAGGTAACAAAAGCTCGGTCCAAATGACAAATTTGCCACAAAGCTACGCCTAATAACAAAGTCAAAAGCTGACCTAGTCCATGTCAATTTAGGAAAATATAGAGGAGAATAAGTAGAGAGAGTGGAGAGTGTAGAGAAAATGAGAGCTGCACATATTTTTCTGATTTCAACTTAACTTACTTTGTATTACTTACAACACATTTATAACTACAAGCCAAGAGGTAGACAAGGCATCCCTAAGACAAGAAAACAAAGTTTCCCTAAGACAAGAAAGCAAAGTTCCCTAAAACAAGGTAACCGTAAAATAAGGACTTTGTGTTTCACACACAAGATGACAAGATAGAAAAGGTAACCAACTAACTAATCTATTAAGAGCTAACAGCTAACACTCCCCCTCAAGTTGGTGCGTAGATGTCGCCAATGCCCAACTTGACCAGTGAGTTGTGGAATACTCTGCTAGAAACTGTTTTTGTCAATATATCGGCCAGTTGGTCTTCGGACTTGACAAACGGAAGCTGAATTTCTTTGTTTTCAAGTTTCTCTTTAATGAAGTGTCGATCCACTTCAACATGTTTAGTGCGATCATGCTGAACTGGATTATGTGCAATGGATATTGCAGCCTTATTATCACACTGTAGATGCATTCCTAATGTAGGTGCATATCCAATCTCTGTAAGCAATCTCTTTAACCAAAGGAGTTCGCAAATTCCTTTGGTCATTCCTTTGAATTCGGCTCCTGCACTAGACAAGGCAACGACATTCTGCTTCTTGCTTCTCCAAGTAACCAAGTTACCTCCTACAAATGTGAAGTAACCTGATGTTGATCGTCTATCAGTGACGTTTCCTGCCCAATCTGCATCTGTATAGCCACTGATATTTAGATGACCATTTTTAGAGAACATAAGTCCTTTTCCTGGTGCTGACTTCAAATACTTAAGAATCCGAAGAACCGCATCCATATGATCTTCACTTGGACAATGCATAAACTGACTAGCAACACTTACAGCATATGCGATGTCGGGTCGGGTGTGAGACAAGTAGATCAATCGTCCCACTAATCTTTGATATCTTTCTTTGTTAGTGAGTACTTGATTGAGATATTCCCCAAGGCGGTGACTCTGAACGATTGGAGTGTCCACAGGTTTGCAATCTAACATTCCAGTTTCTGCCAATAAATCTAGAACATACTTCCTTTGTGAGAGATATATGTTTTGCTTTGATCGAGCAACTTCAATGCCCAAGAAGTACTTGAGTCCACCAAGATTTTTCATTTCAAACTCCTTTGCCAAACATTTTTGTAGTTGAGAAATTTCCTGCGTATCATTCCCAGTAATAATCATATCATCGACATACATGATGAGAGCCGTTACCTTTCCTCCCTTGTGTTTTAAGAACAGAGTATGGTCAGAATTACTCTGCTTAAAACCATAATTCTTCATTGCCAAGGCAAAACGCCCAAACCATGCCCGGGGAGATTGCTTCAATCCATATAATGCCTTTTGTAATCTGCACACCACATTAGCATGAGTAGATGTAACATATCCTGGTGGGATATCCATGTAGACTTCTTCTGTGAGTTCTCCGTATCATTCCCAGTAATAATCATATCATCGACATACATGATGAGAGCCGTTACCTTTCC